GATGTACGGTCCTTTGCAAATGCGAAGGTGGATGCGTTAATAGCGAAGATGACCAGTATAGTAATACTTTAGTCTGAATTACTTTCATAAAAATTGATTCCTGAATAATCTTTATTTTTTAGTAGTACACTGCTGAGCTTTGACCTTTAACCCCAAAATGTGGTCACTATGTCCTCAAATTGCCAAAATAAGATCAGAATCGGATTCTCAGAGGCCACAAATCCCTAAAAAGTGGTATTATGTCTAATTCTTAGTGTTTAATGTTTTTTTACCTATAATTGACGCACGATTTAACTCTCGGTCGGGTGACCTCTATCGTGACCCTGACATGCAATATCGCCTCAAATCGTTCAAATAATGTCAGATTCGGGTTACTCAACCCCGGAAACCGATAAAATTAGGTGCTGTTTGTATATATTGACCAAAAAACACTAAAAATGACATATTTGACCCCAAAATGACCTTTAGAATAACCTTGAGGGGTGACCTTGACCTCAAATCACTGAAGTAAGTCTGGGAATCTGATTCTGATTAAATAATACCACTTTTTAGGGGTTTTCAAGGTGATTATAGATCTTTTGGATGTTTAACTCTTTGGGGGGCAATCCGCCATATTGGCAAATTCCAATATGGCCACCACCCGGGCCCCGGGGGGCGCCCATTCCGGCGCCCGCCAGTAATCGAAAAAGTATGGTATGGGCAACATCTGGGCCAAATTTGGTGCTTTTGGAAGAATGTGAACCAAAATATCCCTAACACCCCTGACTAATATGCATATATGCATATACATATTAACATATATATATATATATATATACATTATGCATATGCATTATGCATATATGCAATAAGTAAAAAATCCTAGAATACTACGGTTCTCCAACTAAAAGTTACGATTTGGTTATCAGAAACCTGAAAGAGAATCGAACAATACGGCACGTACTACGGAACGACTACCAATGCAGGACACACGGGGCATTTCGCAAGTATCAGAAAATGATGGGCGGCATGAGAAGCTGGTGCATGCTGTGGACCACATTCTCTATCGTACCGCTCACGCTTATACTAGAAGCCCTTAAGGTACGCTTATATAATTCACTACAACAAGCCGCTGTGATATAACACGTGCTTTAAATTGATATTTCGTCTCTCAAACTGTTACTGTAATGTCAGTGAGATGTTCTTGAAGGCGTATATCTCTTTATTATATTACTTAACTTATATTATTAACTTGTCTCTGAAAGTAACTTGTTAGCCATATTCGCGTCGGTTATACGTGTACAGGCAAACACAGACTGCAAACATCATATGAACTGCCGCCGCTAGCGTCATTGTTTAACAAATGGACTGTCTAGACGCCGATTCATCATGTTCCACGTCGCATTTTACTGTGTCTATTGACTACTGTTAGTACTTTCCGTTTCCATGCTAGATATAAAAGGTGTCGATATGTTAGCGTATGAACCTCAAAACAATCGACACCGCCGTGTGCGCACGAGATCGCCACGATTCGCCTGTCGTCCGGCGGACGATGTATGAATCATACAAATAAGAATTACGTAAGAAATCGCACGTCGATCGGCTCTTGCAGGTCAGTCTCGGCTGGGTTTACCTGTTTATGGGCGTCGTCATTGGTTCGTCCGTTGTTCCCATCGTGCTCTGTATGATGTGGGCTCCGTTGACGGCTCCAGCAATGGTCGTTGGTACCGTTGGCGGGTGCGTGGCCGGACTGGCGGTCTGGCTCGGTGTCGCTTCGACTTATCCCGGCGGAATAGCCTTGAAATACTTCATGGACAACACGGGTATGAGATGTCGTGTGTAGTCTTTATTGTGTTCGATAGTTTACAGGATTTGTCGTTTAGTTCCGATGTGAGATAAGATGTGTGCAACGAGATTCTGCCTTTCTTCGCCGCCTATCTTTCTCTATCATGCTCTTTCTGTTTTCATCATCATTTCATCATATATGTTTTCATCATCATCATCATCTGTTTCTTTCTTTATCTTTCTCTATTTCTTCCCCTTTAGTCTCTCTCTCTCATCCACATACACGCACCCCTCCCGTCTCCCGATATTCCTCGAAAGCTATAGTTATCCCTATTGCGCTTAATTTGTCTTCACTTGTTATCAGTTTCTCTCTCTCTCTCTCTCTCTATTGATTTTGTGAATAATAAATTATTGCTATAATTGCACACATATAAATGCCACGTATCAGCGGTCTTGTTGGTTTGCTGTCACAACCTTCGTTCGATACAGGGCAAGAGCTGAGCATGCTGTGTGGAAACTTGGCCTCTATAATCATAGGCGGCTTATTGACAACTATCATCACCGTTTGCACGCCGAGGTCGGGAGATGCAATATCCGCAAACGAGGTTTGGGAGGGGACGCGTGATATTGATAACCCCCTCGCTCCCTGGACGGAAATGTATGCAAGGTAATACGACGCGAGGTTAAACCCTATATCTACCCGTCGAGGCAATAAAATTACGTACGACGGCACGGGGGCGGAATTGTGTATCTTGCGTTCATTTCACGTTGCGCGCAATATTTGCACGCTGCATTGCCCTTTTATTTAATTGGGAATTTTGCATGATTAGGGCTACCCTTACGAAAATAACACACGTGTGTTTATATTGTACTCGGTCGTCATCCTATTGAGCAGTGCGCCAACTTTCGACAGCTATATGTCATGTTTTGTCGTGCGCAAGCATTTCCAGGGCCGTCTGGCGGACGTTGACATTCGTCTGCTTTTTGCAGAGAGTTGCACATGAAGGCAGCAAACGAGCTGAATAATCGTCCGTCGATCGTGCGCGTGTCGAATGCGTTTCGGTCGGCTAAGCTGATATCTTACGTCGGTTCGATCAGCCTCACCGTCGTCATGATCATCGTCTGGCCCGCGCTGATGATATTCACCGGCGTCATGGAGCTTCGCCAGTTCATTAACTGGATCAACGTCGCCGAAGCGTGGATGTTCCTCGCGGCCGCCTTTATCATCGTCGTGCCCATCTACCACGAGTACGCAGCGATACGCAGCGCCAAGAGGACAACGGCCAAGGTGACAATGAAGCGGGACCTCGGGTTGGCGCTATCGCAGGGCGCGTCGGGGAACACGAACCGGCTGAATCCGAACTCGCGCGGATTCAGGCCTCGGCAGAAGGTGCGGCCGGATCGGGATTACGCGTCGGGAAGCGTCCATCTAAATTCGGACACGGCCGCCACTCCGACGCCGACGCGCATCTCGCCTGACGTCGTTGAGAACGAGGTTATCTCCATTATACACACCGAGAGCATGGTGATCGAACCGTCCGTCATGGCCGCCACGAAACCGTGACGATGACGATGACACTGGTAGCAGAGATTTTTTTATAGACGAGAGCGGGACGAGTAAATTTGCGTCTTCGAAGAATCGCGATGGCGTGTTGCTGATTGTGGATTCTGACGTCATATTTCCTATCTTCCTTTACGCGTTAACTGGGCCATATCAGTGTTGTAGGTCTCGAGACCGGTCTTGGCCTCGAGACCGGTCTCGAGACCGTTTTCCTTGGTCTCGGTCTCGGTCTTGGCCTCGAGACCGGTCTCGAGACCGTTTTATCCATCCATCCATCCATCCATCCATCCATCCATCCATCCATCCATCCATCCATCCATCCATCCATCCATCCATCCATCCATCCACCTATCCATTTATGTGATCCGTGATACACTCATGTTATTTCATAACGCCAGCGTCAGATTTGGTGACTCATGCCCCGATAATTGCTCCCTCCTCTGCTCCATTATGTCAGTTATTTCGGCCCGTCTCTGAATTCCTCTCTCCTTCTTCGCATCCTCCATCTCCCTCCCCTTTCCCTATCGTGCAGGCAATGATGTTCGTCTGGTGACATTACTGAAGCCTGAAGCCATTCGAGCGCTGCCGCCACCGCATCGATATCTCCCTCGCATCCTTCGCTCCCGCTGCTGCTGCCCGGAGGAGAGAGAGAGAGAGAGAGGAAGCTCGTGAGAGGGATGAAAAGAGAGACCACTCTGTGTGATCAATAGGATCAAGGAACTCTCCACAACAGCTGTTCCTATATATCCTGGAAGAGGGAAGAGGGAGGAGAAGGAGCGGGAGAGGAGTTAGTAGACGATAGGGACGAGGGAGAGGGCCGAGATAGGTGGCTTCTTCACAGCATTTCCGATACTGGAGGCGGAAGAGGTGGGGTGGGTAGGAACTAGGAACTAGGGAGGAAGAAGGAAGGGTAGGTGGGTACTGGGGCGGAAGGGGGAATAAGGGGATGTGTGATTAGGAGCTGAGGGAGAGAGAAAGGAGTGAGTGAGTGGGTTGCTGGCAATGACGAGCGGCTGTTGTTGTCGTGTTCATAAAAGTTCGATCGATATTTACGTTCAGGGCATTTTACAGGTGCAATCCATCACAGGTGTTGCTGTCTGTTGTGTTTACCCTGCACGTTTGTATGCCATGTTCGTTGCCACGCAATGCGTTAGTTTTTATTGTAACTAAGCAAAACATCAACGTAGCTCTCCAAAACATTACCCGTAACTAAGTAAAACGATGTACCGTATGTAATCAAAACGTTACTGTGTCTAAACACACTATACGACCGTAACTAAGCAAAACATTACCATAAGCATAACTAAGCAAACCACGACAGTAACTATTCAAAACAGTACCGTAACTGAGCAAACCATGACTCTATCTCATATTAACCCTGCGGATTTTAAAGCGAGAATTTCTCATGTTTTTCTAACCGTTTTCATATTTTCTCAACCATTCTGATATACCGGTACTCTTTGCATAACACCAAATGTATATAGTGAGGCTAACGTGTCATAGAACACTCGCACAACATTCTTCCACTAATACATGTACACCGATGTGCATTGTAAATTATATTCTGAATGAGTCATTTATTCATTTTTCGATTTATTTGAGAACGATCGTGTTATTCGAGAAATGCTTATGGATATAGTGTATCGTGCTGAATGTTTGCGTTTATCCACACCAGGAGGGGCTGCTGGACGTCCACCTGCTGTTTTCGGACGGCACGGACACAGCGTTGACCGATGTGCCGGACAGCAACTATCTGCTGAACGTCGTCACCAAGGACAAGGGCGTCGTCGAGTTCTCATCGATGCCCTATGACAGCTTCCCTCGAGTCATCGCAGTCGGTACGCCATCTAGTGTCGCGTCTAGATATTATTATTCATCATTGAGTTATCATTGATGGGTTTTGCTATCCCCCGGGCGTGGAGGGAGGGTCACGTGATACAGTTGCCGTATACTTCAAAATCATTAACCATCCGGTAACGCTAACTGCAACACCTCCAACGCTAACTATAACACTAAATATATATATCTCGGAGCGCTATATATAGGTCCAAAAATCCACAAACCTTAACCCTAACCCTAACCCTAACCCTGACCCTAACCCTAATCCTAACACTAACCCTAACCCTAACCCTAACCCTAACCCTGACCCTAACCCTAATCCTAACACTATCCTAACACTACTGCTGCCACGTTGCAGTCACCTCCCTCCACGCCCGGGGGATAGCATTACCCTGTAGTTATGGGTCATGTGGTGCCATCTATTGTCTGATGAACACGTCATTGTTGCAGGTCCGGTTAAAGGATATAGTAACAATCTTGTACCTGTTGTTGGTCCTGTGTCGCCATCTGTCGGCTCTCAAACGCATCCTTAATGTTGTAGGTCCAGGTAAGGGAGATCTGCTGCGTGTTTCTGTCGAGCTGGGAGACATGTGTCTGCGTCGACGCTCACCTCCGCTCGCCGCCACCGCCACCTACGTCGAAGTTGACTTCAGCAAGGCAGCGGCGGCGCGCGCCTACGATGGTGGCGCCCTCATGGAGCTGCAGAACGATGGCCGCTTCCTCGCCAGCAACCAAGCGAGCGTTCGCGATGACGAGCCGTTCCACAAATACCGCGCAATCGGCAGCGCCCCCTACACCGATGATGAGAAGAAGCCAGCGGCGGCGGTGGCGGCCGGCGCCGACGGGAAATCAGCGCCGATGCGGGACGAGCGGCGCCCCCTGCTGACGCGCTCGCCGTCGTTCTCACCGCTCGAGATCGGCATGTACGTGCTGCTCGGCATCTTCTGCATCGCCATCGTCGTCTTCGTCGTCAACTGCGTCGTGTTCGCGACGCGCTACCGCCGCAAGCGCGTGCCGGCGCGCGACACCGTCTCGGACGCGCCGGACTGGGTCTACGTCGGCCGCGCGACACTCGAGCGGCAGTCTGTCGTCATTGACCCCGGCGCGACCCTCATCCGCCAGTCCGACTTCAACGGCAACGCGGCCGGGGGCGGCGGCGGGGGCGACATCGACTCTGGGCACGTGACAGAGACGACGTCGAACAACAACAGCAACCGCAACAGCACGCACTCGTACCAGGGCTCGGAGATCAGCATCCGGCTCACACCGAACCCGCATCCCAGTTGCCGCAGCGACGGCGGTGGTGGCGGCGACGGCGTGCAGTGGGACTACGAGGCAATGGGACTCACCTACGATCAGCTGAAGGACTACTTTGACAACCTCAAGGAGTCAAATGCGTAACGCGCACACCGCGCCGCTGCCAGGAGGTGTCGTCGGTGCCACCAGATGGCGCCCCGACTGACCGTCGCCACCGCCGTGCTTTGCCAGGCAGGTCGTCATGGGAACTGTAGCCGGGCATGGCTCTTGGGTGGTTTTGCGCCTTAGTCGATCAGGCAGTTGTGATGTACGGCACTCACCAGGGGGCGCTAGGTATGGCACTGCCGGCTACAGTGGCGATCGGACCATGACCTGATGTATCAGTGCTGCATCGGCGGAGGTGACGACGGATGCCTAGTTCGTTAGAGGAGACGAATAGCAATGCCGTCACTCCAGGAGCGACACGATGATTAATAGCTGCCACGGCGCAAGCGGGATCCATCATCTCCTGGCATCTCTCCCATCCTGGGATCTCTCCCATCCTGGGATCTCGCCTATCATGGGATCTCTCTTATCATGGGATCTCTCCCATCCTGGGATCTCTCCCATCTTGGGATCTCTCCCATCCTGGGATCTCCTCCATCTTGGGATCTCTTCCATCCTGGGATCTCTTCCATCCTAGGATCTCTCCCATCCTGGGATCTCTCCTATCATGGGATCTCTCCCATCCTGGGATCTCTCCCATCCTGGGATCTCTCCCATCCTGGGATCTCTCCCATCCTGGGATCTCTCCCATCCTGGGATCTCTCCTATCATGGGATCTCTCCTATCATGGGATCTCTCCCATCCTGGGATATCTCCCATCTTGGGATCTCTTCCATCCTGGAATCTCTCCCATCTTGGGATCTCTCCCATCCTGTGATCTCTCACATCCTGGGATCGCTCTTATCATGGGATCTCTCCCCTCCTGGGATCTCTCCTATCATGGGATCTCTCCCAACCTGGGATCTCTCCCAACCTGGGATCTCTCCCATCTTTAGATCTCTTCTATCATGGGATCTCTCCCATCCCGGGATTTCGCATCTTGGATGCATGACGTAGCGCGACATGGTGTCTAGTAATCGCTAGAGTTGTCACCTGTGCTTGCAACGTGCGGCCCGCGCGTACGTACGATGACTGGCTCCGATTCAATGCTCGAACCGACGTAGACAAACCATCGAAATCAGTAAATCTTAAAACACTGAAAAGATTAAATTAGCTACTGACATTGAGTTTTCCGCCGCCGCGAACCACGATGGGCGAGACAAACAAGAGAGCACTTGGGTGGTGCAGCTACTCGGAGGTCTGCCCTCCGTCCCTCTACCTTAAGTCGCAAGGATGTATGAAATGCAGTCTTAATACCTATCTAACGTACGCAACGTGTCGGTTTTTCAGAAGGTTGCTTCAAGGTCACTGCGGAGGTCGTATCTCTATATATATTTATTTATTTATCGTGCCGTGCCCTGCACTGAATTTTATGGTACTACATACATATACATATACATGAAAATATATACGCAGTAAATTTAGCGTAAATTCAACTTTTTATGAACTCTTGTTCTATCATCGATGACAGGAATCTGTGTAATTAATTACTAGTTGTTAATTGGGAGAAAGTTTGCCGTTAATATAGTGTTATCATACGTTAATATAGTGTTATCATACGTGTGAGAGAAGTCGTGTGCCGTGCAACGTTTGAGAGCACGGCGTGCCATTAGTTGGAGTGGGCGTGGGGGCAGAGAGTACGCGTGTTCCACAGATACGAATGAACGATTGCAGGACTTTCACTGCGTATGTCGATTGTTCGCGTATCGGAAGTGGATTGGTCGCCGTGGTTCCGTCGTGTCGGACGGATGGCGCGGTGTGTAGTGTCCGCGTTCGTCGACGTTTATAGCGGCGGGAACCGGTAATGTTATGTACGGCGATCACACACCGTGTATTTGTAATTTCACTCGTGGTTTCACCTGCGCGACAGAAACTGCTGCTTAACGGTGTAACTGTGAGCGTGAAACGTCCTAAGCTGGACCAGACCGAGAGTCCCAGAGAGCACCTCATATATCTCACTTCATGTCCCTTTATAGATCAGTGAGAGAGTTTTGTTCACACATTCGTTGTTGACGGCGATATAGCATCTAAGTATCAGTCACAGGTCTACGCATGGAATTTTAAAATGCATTTCTCATTTCAGATAGCCTCCTCTAACAGCTATAGTGTAGGAAGCAACGGCGTATTTTAATTGTCACACACACGCACGCACACACGCTCTTTTACATTTTCAATGTTCGAATGTTGTGGTTTTGCCGCATTCTGAGCGTAAGATGCATGCATACATCTATAACACTAGTGATTTGGCTTTTTTACAGCGCGTACGTGTAGCATATAAAGGGCGCTAGGGTTGCAGTGTTCGTGTGCGTGTGTATCGCTGACATTTTCCTCACACATCACGCGCACGCACGCACGCACGCACGCACGCACGCACGCACGCACGCACG